AAGGAAAAAAAATATTTTGTTTCTATTATGCAAACTGCCCATTTAGACAGGAAACAGCCTCCTAATCCGTATTTACATTATGCTGAGCAGTTGGAAAAAGCAAAAAACATAATCAATACTTCTTTACTTACTGCATGTCACAAACAAAACTCATGAACATTGCAAATTTTTGCAAATTCACCAATTATTTATTCCTCAGAAGAGCTCATGTTGCAACCTGATAAAAACCTGACTCCAGGAAACTGCTAGAAGCCAGTCAGATTACAACTGGTTATTTTAGCCAGCGTGTGCCATTTGTGTGTGTAGTATGCATCAGATGGTGAATTGAAATGGCACTACAGGGCTGCTGGCTCATTAGGTAAAAGTTTTATCAGTGAACAAAACACCTCCAGCATCAAGTGTTTATATCTCAGTTGGATGGCTGCACAGAAAATTCCTCAGAAAACAAATTTTATTTTTGTCCCTTGCTGATGGCCACTGCTAAATTTATCTGGGCCAAAGCAAGTTGTATTTTAAATGCAAACTGATCGCAACTGGGTATGTTTTCCATAATCAGCAAACACAAAAACACATATCAGAAGTTCTAAAATGCCCGCTGTTTTATTGAGTTTTCATCAGACATGCTGCAGGACCACAGTTTGAGATACCTAATGTGTATACTTCAAGGTCTTGTCCATGAGCTTATCCCTCAAACTCAAAGCAATACGACTTTCAAGCTTCTGGGATGGAGGTATAATCTATACTAGCAAAGCAGCAAATGGGTTTGTCATGTCAAACTGCCATGTCTGACTTCCTCCTCATGTAAGACAGAGATGACTCAGCTACATACACAAACATATACTGTATATACCCACAAACTCTACTGTATTACCATCTAGAAAGGCAAGAAAATGATAGCAGCTTTTGTTGTATACTTTTAAATTGGTCATTTCTGGCCATTTACTCTTTCTCTCTTGTACCTAGTGCAAATGTTTCTCCATTACAAATAATCACCTGGAGTGATGATATCCAGCCTGAGCATTACAATCTCAGAAATACACACATAGACACAGACTGGCACCACAAGAAGATTAGAACTTTACAAACTGCACTTGTCACACCCCCATGAGCCATGACTGACACAAAAATGTTCCCTGTAAGATGCACTTTATGATATTGCACTCAAGAAGGCTGTGTATGGGGAAAAAGCTAAAAATTTGTTGAACCAAAGCTAAAGGAATGGACAGCAGTTAAGCTGGAGTCTATCAGCATGTACACTGATTTTTAGGTTGGAACTGAAGCTGTCAGAAATCTTGTGCATGGAAATCAATTCACCAAATAAGGACTGCATCCTAGAACAGGACAGAAGTCTAAATAAAAGATATGAAAAGATCGATTAGATTAAAATGTATAAATAGATACATACTAGTTTGAGTCTCATATGCACACCAAGGCTACATGTTTTGATACAAAATACAGTAAACAATATTTAGTAATATTGTGAAATAATATTACAAGTTAAAATAATTGTTTTATATTAAAATATATTTTAAAATGTAATTTATTCCTGTGATGCAAAGCTGAATTTTCAGCATCATTACTCCAGTCTTCATTGTCACATGATCCTTCAGAAATCATTCTAATATGCTGATTTGCCCCTCAAGAAACATTTCTTATTATTGTCAATGTTCAAAACAGTTGTGATGCTTAATATTTTTGTGAAAAACTACAGGTGCATCTCAATAAATTAGAATGTCATGGAAAAGTTCATTTATTTCGGGCTTAACAAGAGGAAAACGTCAACTGTAGCCAAATTCCTTGACACGTCTGTGTGTGGTGGCTCTTGATGCCTTGACCCCAGCCTCAGTCCATTCCTTGTGAAGTTCACTCAAATTCTTGAATCGATTTTGCTTGACAATCCTCATAAGGCTGCGGTTCTCTCGGTTGGTTGTGCATCTTTTTCTTCCACACTTTTTCCTTCCACTCAACTTTCTGTTAACATGCTTGGATACAGCACTCTGTGAACAGCCAGCTTCTTTGGCAATGAATGTTTGTGGCTTACCCTCCTTGTGAAGGGTGTCAATGATTGTCTTCTGGACAACTGTCAGATCAGCAGTCTTCCCCATGATTGTGTAGCCTAGTGAGCCAAACTGAGAGACCATTTTGAAGGCTCAGGAAACCTTTACATGTGTTTTGAGTTGATTAGCTGATTGGCATGTCACCATATTCTAATTTGTTGAGAGAGTGAATTGGTGGGTTTTTGTTAAATGTGAGCCAAAATCATCACAATTAAAAGAACCAAAGACTTAAACTACTTCAGTCTGTGTGCATTGAATTTATTTAATACACGAGTTTCACAATTTGAGTTGAATTACTGAAATAAATGAACTTTTCCACGACATTCTAATTTATTGAGATGCACCTGTATTAATATGCTGTATAAAAATAATTGGAAAAACAGAAAGAAAAGAAAGCTAAAAAATAACAGCATTTATTTGAAATAGAAATATTTTATAACACTGTATTCACTTATATACTGAACTGTTACAGGTGACCAGTTGCCTTTTTTTTCTTCTAAATGTTATAATTTGAAGGCTTCACTCAGCAATTACATATATGTGATTAATTTGATGAATCAGCATTTAATGTAAATTTTGTATCTCTTCTAAAAGACAACAACATATTTAGTTATAGTAAAGATACTGAACATCTGTGGTTTGGCATCATTCTGTAAAGCAACAAACAAATGTGCTTGCTTTAATAATGTTCTTAGTTTTCCCCCGGGCTTCTAATGTGCTTGCTAGGCTATGTCAGTGTTTCTCTTATGTTGAGCATCCACTTGGGTTCAATAATTACATCAGAGGATTGTGATAAAGAGCCTTCATCTAGCATGTGCTGTGAAGCACTGGACCTGCTCTCTGTTGCTCTGCTCTGTTGTTTATAGCTGTGAAAGGACAGGGCAGCTGTAGGGTGGGTAAGATCACAGCAGGTCAAAACCACTTTAAGCGCTGACATATCTGGGCTGTTTCCCTTGTGCATTCTAATACTCTAAGCCACAGCTTCTCCAGAAGACTCATTTACATGCAGACACCACTGGAAGCCAACTACAACAAAAGGTGTGTGTTTAAAAGAAAGAGACAGGGAGAGAAAGATGAATAACCACACATGCAGCTACTGTATGCAAAGACTTGGATGGCAATACAAATACTTTCTCTGAGGAAAAGTGCTGTCTGCCATAGCTAAATTTGTAGTTGCGAAACATTTGAAAGTTGTCTGATTGCTTTGAAATGAAGTGCAGCTATATTCAACGAGCCCCACAATTTGTGGTGTCATTCATGTCTCTAGCACAAACAGTGCAGGGCAAGTTACATATTGAAGTTTTATACAGTAATTCAGTATATGATATTGCATTCTTAGTTTAAAAGGCTCATATTTTTTTGTGTGTGCTTACATTTGAGATGTAAAGTTGTCTAAATCACCCTTTTGAGGTGGGAAAACGCATCTAGGCAGATTACCTTTTGTTTATAGTTACAGCTCCACGTAAAAAGTGCAGAGTTACATCACGTCCCTTTTCTGGTAGGTTTGGGCATGTTGTGTGAAAATTACTAGGTTTACATGTTCATTACATAACTTAAAATATGCTCAAATAAGGATGCACAAAATGGACAATATTTTTCAAAACAGTCTGATAATTGCTAATTTGAAATGTTATCTGCAGTGCTGTACAATTTCCAGCTAGGTTTCCATAAAACTGCACTACAGGAATTGAGGGAAACATTGGAATTATAATCTATTGTAATCAACAACATGCAACAGATGTTTAAAACGTATAAAATTCCTTTAAATTTACATGAACTGAACTGAAAACAACTGAGATGAATATTATCCAGATTCTATTCCGAGTGAAATTACAGATGGGTTTGCTGGTGGCAGTCGTGCACAAGGGACATGTGTCGCATTTGGCCGTGCATGGAGAGATCAGACACATGCATGTCCCTTAATCCCAGTCCAGCTCACTTCCTGTCCCAGACGCTATCCAGAGAACCAGAGACAGAGCAGAGGAGCACAGAAACACCATAAACACAGCCGGAGGAGGAGAGATAGAGAAAGGAGAAAGAGAGCCAAGTGGAGGCAAGAATAGAATATGCATGAAGGAGAACAATGGTACAGAGGAAAAAGAAAATGAAGAGAAGAATGGAGTAATAAATGAGAGAAAGGCTTGCAAATAATTCAGAAACCACACAGCACACAAGCCTGTGCATAAGAGATGATCTGGCTAAAATCTGTTCGTGTTTCACAATTTTGACTTTTTTTCTCACAATTCTGAATTTATATCTTACAATTAACTGAATTTTGACTTTCTTTCTCACAATTTACATTTAAATTTACATCTGACAATTCTCAGTTTATATCTTGCAATTCTGATTTTTTTTCTCTGAATTCTGAGTCACTTTACATTTCGCAATTGAAATTTGCGTTTTTTCCCTCTCAATTCAGACTTTTTTCTTGCAATTGCAAGTTCATATATCATAATTCAGACTTTTCTTCTCAGAATTGCGGGTTATAAACATATCTTGCAGTTATATGTCGCACTTGACTATATCTCACAATTCTGTTTATATCTTGCAATTCTATGTTTATGTCTTGCAATTCTGAGTTTATATAACTGAGATTTAAAAAACGTCTGAATTGCGCTATATAGACTCAGAATTGCTAGAGAAAAGTTTGAATTGTGAGATAAAAAGTCATGTTTCGTGACGTCATGTTTTTAATCCCGTGGCGGATTAACAGTAGTCATTAACTGTGGCTATTACAGAATCAGTTGGAGCAATTTGGGCCTTTTTATAAATGTGGAAAAGCCTAATGAAAATGTGGTCATGTGAAAAGAATTGCCAAATTTTAATACTTAGGGTAAGGGGGTTGTTTAAATCACAAAATAACCAATAACAGACTACAATATCCAATAACAATTTTTCACTCATTTGTTATCTCTTAATATTAATTCAGCCCTCATATCTCTCTCAATCTGGCCTCCTGTCTATCAATGAAATCACAGATTATCATCACAGATGGAGTGACTAGATGTCTTCTATCGTACCGAGAATTATAATCCTCCGGTGGCAGATTGGGAAATGTGGCCTAGAACAGACTCAAGCTGTGTTAGTCTATGTATGCAGTTGAAAAAATGTCCCTTGCTTGAGCCATCAGAATCCAAATTAGGTTAATTTTATTTATCACTGCACTCTGTTTGTACTCACTTCTCACAGTGGCCGTCCTGGTGCAGTTATAAAGGATGGCGAGCTCTCCAAACACTTTTCCTGGTCCCATAGTGCACAGCTTCAATCCTTCTTTAGACACTTCAACTTTTCCCTCTGAAAAAAAACACCACAACTGTAAATAACAGAGTAAACACTTTTAAACAATATTTATACAGGTACATCTCAATAAATTAGAATGTCATGGAAAAGTTAATTTCAGTAATTCAAAAATAGAGACACATTTAATGAGTTCAGTTTAAAACCAGATCATAATAGTCAGAATAATGGTGAATTTCATGACACCTGGGAAGAATGTCGCCATCATTTTAATCTCAAAATCAAAAGTAAAAATATAAGAAAAATGTTTTGATTAAAAGATTAAGTGTAATAATATTTTTTGTTTTCATTATAAAATTTTTTAAACAAAGTTTAAAAAATACTAATGAGAATCACAATGCAGAAATTTTAATGGTCTTAAAAACAGGTTTCATACTCGTGCATGTATATGCTATATATAATGTTTAGTCGCCTTTAGTGTAACTGCACATTAAAATACACCTCTCTCTCTCTCTCTCTCTCTCTCTCTATCAGAAGTGTCAACTGTAGATGTGCTGATATGATACACTGTGAGCAGAATAACAGGAAGTCAAGCAGCTATTCTCACTTTTCAGCAGCTGATCACACAGACAGGTGACAACACAGGTGAACGACCATGTGAGATGAGAGAGAGCAGTGCAGAGAGAGATATTGAAAAGGTGTGAGGGGCATATCAAGGTTGTAGAAAGGAGAGATAGTGAGATATGAGAATGCAAGAGAATGAGAGAAAAGAGAGAGAGAGTTGATGACTCTTCCCTTATGATGGTCTATCATTAATATTCAGATCTGGCAGTACAGGATTATGGGACAGAATGACTTTCATGTGGCCTTGACCTAATCAAACCTTTCTCTGCATTCATTATAATCATGGTTCAAAATTAACTTTTTGCCACACTTGCCAACGGCGAATGAATTGAGAAAATGTACAAGTCATAAAAATTGTATTTAACATCTGTAGACAATGGAATTATTTAGATGTTTTTACTTTGCATACTCATGACAAACAGCACAGATCATTCTGGATGAGCCAGTCTCCGTCTGTCTGTGATATTTCTGTTTTAGTGGCTTAATGCGTGAAATATTCCACATATGTGTCACCACATGGAGTTCTTCAGAAAATGAAATTAGGCATTCTAGATGAACTGATACCATTTCCTTTGAGGTAAACGATGCAACAGATGTTTTCCTGAGTAGATGCTTTATGTCTTTGATTTGAAAAACGCACATCACTTACATCTGAGAGAGTATGTCTATCATTCTTACAGTTTGACATAAAGCATGTAATGTTGCTGTTCCTAATAAAGTTACCTGTTTTATGCTGTTTTATTTACTCACCAAAGCCAAATGTTACTCATTTATGAATTCTGCGCTTTTAATTTCATCCCCCGATAATGACTTCTCAAATGATTAATCAACTGAGAACAAATATCACCTTGACACCAAATGTTTTCTCAATATTTTTCAGTTCTGAACAAATTGACATCTCTTTGTGCACAGCTTTAAGAACTATAAACAACATACATAATACCAGGTTTAGGTATTAATAATGCTATTTATGTAGTCAAGATCAGGGTTATAGGGAACACATTTACTTTACTGTTCAAACATTTGGGATTTATTTATATTTTATTAATACTTTCATTTAGCAAGGATGCATTGAATTGATAAAACTGAAGGAAAATATATTTATAATGTTAAAAAAATCACGGATTCTGTAAAAATAAGCAGAACAGCTGTTTCCAACATTGATAGTAATTAGAAATGTTTCTTGTACACATTAAAGAATTTTTTTTTTAAATTACATTTTAAAATATATTACAACTACTATTTATGACTTATTTTAATTTGTAATAATATTTCACAATATTACTGTTTTTACTGTATTGTGATGAAATAAATTCAACCTTGATGAGCTTAAGAGATTAAAAATCTTAGCAACACTAAACTTTGAACACTAGTTTAAGCGTGTATACAAGAGAGAAATATAATCATTATACCAAATGCTTTAAGATCATATTAAAATAAGAGGATAGAACATGCAAATAACTTCTCATGTAATGTCAGACTGTAAGATAATACTCAAAACAGGCTAAGAATTTATTAACAAGGGGCCCACAACAGGCCATAAATGTGTGATATAAAACTAGACTGTAACTATCTGAGCCATTAAAGAATTAAACATTAAATATGAACACATCTTATTATCACCGCAGGACATACTCAAACACTTCAAACAGGACATTCATAGAGTCATAAAAGGATTTAAGCCTAGCATGTACATTCATTAAATAGAATGACATTAATGTAGAAGAAAAAAATAAGGAATACAACCAAAAGGACTGTGAAGACTATGAGCATGAACAGGGTCAAAGTTGTAAAGTTCAGTCCAGAGTTTGTTCACACTGAAAAGCTGTAGTCATTTTAAGTGTCTCAAATGTTTTTCCCAAAGCTATTACACCCACCACCACAACAGGAAGTAATAATGTCCATTAGCGTGACCTCCAGTTCCTCCTCGGACAGAAACAGGAAGCTATGACCCAAAGGGTCAAGGACATTGCTGTGAACAACTGATTACTTTTCCCAACATGCACTAATGTGCTTCTTTGGCAAAGAATGGAAAACTACAATGCACATACACACACTGACATGTTAAAGGGTTAGTTCACCCAAAAATGAAAATTCTGTCATTAATTACTCACCCTCATGTCGTTTCAAACCCATAAGACCTTCGGTCATCTTCAGAACCCAAATTAAGATATGTAGGATGGAATCTGAGAGCTGTCTGACCCTGCATAGACAGCAACGCAACTGAAATGTTTCCAAGTCCAGAAACGTAGCAAGGAGATCTGTAAAATAATCCATGTGACATCAGAGGTTCAACCATAATTATACGAAGCTACGAAGCTATCTAATTTTGTAAAAAATAATAATAATCGTGAATCGAATCGAGAAATCAAAATCGTGAATCGAATCAAATCATGAGTTAAGTGAATCGTTACATCCCTAGTAATTAATGTCATAATTTTCATTTTTGGGTGAACTAACCCTTTAAGGGCTGGCAGTGTAAGGCAGGTAACATTGCTCGTACTGTTGGTTATTAAGCACTAGTGTTCAGAGCAGCTCCTAATGCCCTAATGCCCTACAGCAAATCATATATTACCCATGATTCACAGAGATAAGAAGTAGAGGAAGAGTGAGAGACAGAGATGTTCCCCTGACATGGGCTCTACTAAACAAACATTAATAACTCGGAGACAGATGCTAAGTGATCGAACAGGCAGGAATGAAATAATGCATGAAATGAAATAGAGAGAGCGGACTGTAGATAAGGCCACTGAAGACAGATATTAAATGATGAGAGATTGTCTTGTGTTTACTCTGCAAGCTGAAATGGACTCTGCATGCTATACATCTGAGTAAAGCAAAACACTGAACAGGAAATAATGCAGGGCGGGACTTTGTGCTCAGTTGTGCTATGATATTATTGGTTGTTATACAGTATATATATATATATATATATATATATATATATATATATATATATATATATATATATATATATATAAACACAAAGCAACTAGAAGCCTGTATTAGACAAGAATGGGACAACATTCCTATTCCTAAACTTGAGCAACTTGTCTCCTCAGTCCCCAGACGTTTGCAGACTGTTATAAAAAGAGGGGATGCCACACAGTGGTAAACATGGCCTTGTCCCAACTTTTGAGATGTGTTGATGCCATGAAATTTAAAATCAACTTATTTTTTTCCTTAAAATTATACATTTTCTCAGTTTAATCATTTGATATGTCATCTATATTGTATTCTGAATAAAATATTGAAATTTGAAACTTCCACATCATTGCATTCTGTTTTTATTCACAATTTGTACAGTGTCCCAACTTTTTTGGAATCAGGTTTGTATTATAACTATACCATTTTAAAGTTTGGGATTTTTTTTTTTTTAAATAACTTCTATTCAGTTGATCAAAAGTGACAGTAAAGACTGGCTGCTGGAAATTCAGCTTTGCCATCACAGGAATAAATTACTTTATGTAGGCCTACCTATACTAGGGGTGCAACGGTTCAACTTACTCACGGTTCGGTTTGTATCACGGTTTTAGAGTCACTGTTTCGGTTCGGTTCGGTATGTGCTATGTTTAGGGAAAAAACTATATTGTCAAATAAAGAAAATAAGAACAAAAAATCTAACTACAAGAAACAGTACAAATAAACCATGAAAAAAGATACAAATAAAATAAACAGTGTTTCAGTTTTTTTTAGGTAGGTCTAACATAGTTTTAGGTACAGAAATTGAATAAATCAAATGTAAAATAACATTGCATATTTGACTGTATAAATTAAAGATTAATCCTTATTAAAGTTACAAAAGTTATTCAATCATGAGCAGTGAGAGATTTCTGTGTTG